GGTGTAAGTACCTTCTGCCCACACTTCGTCCAGACCCGAAAGAAGGTGTGGCCAAGCCAGGCTTCTGGAGGGTGGAGGAGCTCGTCCTGAAGGGACGGCTCTGAGACTGCATCGGCTGGACGGGCTTGCAAAGAGTGCAGCAAGGTCAGCAAGGTTTGGTAATGATTGTGACGCGCGAGTTACGCTACTCCACCAGTACTTCTGCTGCTACTGCTACTTCTGCTGCTGTTCCCAATGCTGCTACCCGTGTTACTACTACTAGTACGACGACGACCTACCACTATCTTCATTTTACTTCACTACTTACTACGTACTACTTACTACTTACTTCTTACTACTTACTACTTACTACGTACTACTTACTACTTACTACTTACTGCTTACTACTTACTTCTTACTGCTTACTACTTACCACTTACTACTTACTACTTGCTGCTTACTGCTTACTGCTTACTTCTTACTACTTACTATACGTACTACGTACTACTTACTACTTACTACGTACTACTTAATACTTACTTCTTACTACTTACTACTTACTACGTATTACTTACTACTTACTACTTACTGCTTACTACTTACTGCTTACTGCTTACTACTTGCTGCTTACTGCTTACTGCTTACTACTTACTACTTACTACGTACTACTTACTACTTACTACTTACTGCTTACTACTTACTGCTTACTGCTTACTACTTACCACTTACTACTTACTACTTGCTGCTTACTGCTTACTGCTTACTTCTTACTACTTACTATACGTACTACGTACTACTTACTACTTACTACGTACTACTTAATACTTACTTCTTACTACTTACTACTTACTACCGTATTACTTACTACTTACTGCTTACTACTTACTGCTTACTGCTTACTACTTACCACTTACTACTTACTACTTGCTGCTTACTGCTTACTGCTTACTACTTACTACTTACTATACGTACTACGTACTACTTCCTACTTACTACGTACTACCTACTACTTACTACTTACTACTTACTACTTACTACTTACTATTACTGCTACTACTATTACTGCTACTACTACTACTACTACTACTACTACTACTACTACTACTACTACTAGTACTACTACTACTACTACTACTACTACCACTACTACTACTACTCAAGCTGCTACGAGCGTCAAACTTTACAATTAGACCCCGAATCGTGGGTTTTATATGCAAGTTGATGTACGGATCCTATAGTAGCTGACCCTATGAGCAGGGTTTACATTCTTGGATTGATGACCGACAACTAGAGACATTTATGCATTTCAAACATAGACTGCATCAAAGTGATAGAGGAATGAAAAAAGGTAACGTATAAAGCTGACACATCGTATGCTGAAGCTATTTTTGTGTTATACGAAGATGTCACAGTCAAGGTGCTAGGTTTAACCGGCATGATGCTGCGAACAAAAGGATGCTGTCGCCACCCTCTACACTGGAACGTTATGGCAGGCCTGGTCACGTGTCATGCGCTGGTTTATAACGAGCCTGTAATCAGCATCCACTGATTCAGGTATCCTGTGCAGTTAATCCAAAGTCACTGTATTCGGGGCTCTAGTTGGCTTTATGTCAAACGAATATTCCAGATGTGTACGGCCGGATTTATGAGGTGTGTATCTCAACGGATCAGCATATCCAGGAAAGGCTTGTGGAATGACTGAAGGATTTCACGGTTTGTCTGGATTTACGAAATACATAGCTGCCACGCTGGCACTGTGATTACGTCCCTCTGAGGATTATCACGTTGCCACGTAGGGTTGATGATAACATCCATTCTCCTGAGAACATAAGCAGCATGTTGCAGATTGGAAACATGTCGCTGCGTTCTGTGAGCAGTAACTCCGCATCCGTGTGATACATGCCTGTCACGCATGTCTACTTCGCACGTGTGTTGTGGCTTGCATCTTCAGCTTCAAGCTTGCGCCGCTCGATTTCATAAACACTCTCCTTGCATTCTTCGCTGCTTGACTGCAGTGGGCAAGCAGCATGTCGTAGATATGTCTGCGACTTCTTTCCTGCAAGGTTCTTGCCCATGGCGGCCACTTTCATGTGTGAGACTTGCCTTGTCTTTGATCCCGCAGGCCTGGTTCATTGCTGTTGCACCCGTAAATCACACTTGAATCTTTTTTTTATGTTCCTGTTGAAGGCTTGGCCGATACAAGCCCAGCTACGCTGGCATTCGGCCGGTCGGCGATCATATATCTTGCGAAATTCAAGTACCTCGGAAGCGTTTGGTCCTCATGAAACCTACTGCCAACGTGTAGTGTGACTAATCTTCATGTTGGCAGGATCTGTCCGATCGTTTGATGTAAGGTTTTTTGAACGCCTCTGGCATTTCTACTCCTCCAACGGTTCTGTGGTGCGAGGCAGGACAATGCTGAATAACACTAAGAATGTAATTGAGACAGTGATGGTGTGTATTAGAGAGGAGCGGCCGACGTAATCCCGCACAAAGCGGTCAACGGCCCTCCATGCCCATCTCGGACTACTGGTACAGGCAACTTAACACGCATATACGATAGCAGAAGCAATGTGTGTACTATCTAGGACTGAAAAGTTGTCAATCTTGTTTGCTTCATCACGTCGCTGTAGGACTGCATCCGCTACGCTCGCCCGAGTCGACCACACGCTGGCAGCTCCTGATCCCGCCAAAGGAATTGCTGAACACACTCCCGAAGCGAAAATTCCACAAGTCACACTCTCTGGTTCTCCAGCCTTCCTACGGTGGGCGGTGCCGCAAGCAGAAGCAGATCTATGAGCCAGCCACGGAGCCCACCCGATTTGTCATGGGCCGTGGCCCTGGACTGGATGCAACTGGGCTCTCCTACTACCAGCGCCCCGAACACCTCCGCACCAACCGAACCAAGAACAAGCAACCTGGCAAGTGCAAGACACTTCGCTGCATTATGTTAAACGATAGTACTTGCGTTGTCATTTCTCCAACGTGTCGTCCACATACACTTTGTGTAAGGCGGATGCGGACGGGAAAGATCGAAGAGGCACTGTCGCCCTGTGAGCTTGATTCGGAGTCCAGGCCTCGGACTTCATCTACTTGATAGTGCTGAGTGTCACATCAAACATATGACAGTGTTCTTTGACTGGTTACTTTGAGCATATTCGAGGTCTGCTGCAGTAGATCCTGGAGAGCATATGATCACTGACCACGTGGCTGTGGAGCACAATGACAACAACTGCTTCGGGTAGCCCGCTGGCATTCCTATGCGTAATGTTCACTTGTTCTGAGTTGATATGACCGCACCCTGTACTTATAGTGTAGGCCGACGGAGAAGATGAACACGCAGGACATGCCGCTGCAACCTGACAGCATTATCATGCGGCATACAGTTATGACACTGTTTATCTCTCGATTAAGGTCGGATGTGCCGGTCGTGCCGGATGAGTGTCAGGGGTTGTCAGCTGACGACATAGATGCATGGGACCGGCGCATGAACCAGATCCATTACAGTGTAGATCGGCTGCAAATATGAATTTGCTATCGTATGCACGTCAACTTGGTTTGGCTTGCAGAATATTTCCGATCTTGCAATGAAAATGTTTGCAGGAAAGGACCGATCGACTCATTCACAAGGAGCTGGCAGAGCTCGAATATCGAAGCGATCACAAACGATGTTCCCATGTTGCATATTAGACCCTTGAGAACATACATGCCACCTCTCGAGAGCTGCAGTTGTCTGTGCTACCATCTATCTGTATCACCAAGGGATTGGCTTCATGCATATCGGTCAGAAGTCACACGACACGCCCAATTGGTGCTGCTTGGTTTCTACAATCATTCAATATCTACAAGCATGCACTAGGTCTTCTGTGTGATGTAACACCTTCAGCGATACATCCTGAAAGCAAGGCGACAACATCGTCTTGCATAATTGCATGCTGCCGAGCACGGCGACTGTGAAGCTGTCGAGATCGCCCTCTGGAAGGACATAGTGCTGCTACACATTCCCTTTTTGATGTGCCCCTTCCATATGAGGACAATTGGTTCGAGCAGACCAAGCCGGATCCCGTCAGTGAAGCACGCTCCGGGCGTGCATGGAAGAAGAGGTCACTTGAACTTGCCACTCGTCCATAGCATTAGAGATGTATGTCAAACTTATACCCAAGAACCTGTGATGATGCTGTGTCATGTTCAAACGCAGTCATAGGTCCCAGCAGATTCTGTCGCATCACCTCATGGCCGAGCCGGTCCGTGCCCTCGCAACGGCCAAGACGAGACAATCTATGCCGTGGCCATCCGATGACTGTCACTCATCCGTATTAAATTTATAGAAAGATTGATCGAGTAAAAAACATACGAACCACCACACTGAGGCAACCACAAGTTCCGTGATACCTGCCTGGTAGACGCGCTTCGTTCCGTTGGCTTCCCGGTCAAGTATGAGAAGCACGGGCCTATGTGGGCCTTGGCGGATGGGAACCGCCTGTTGCAACCCCACAAGCTTCTTGCTCAGGATGAAGTAGACTCGACGTTTGCTAACCCTAGGTGTCCGTTTGCAAATTTAACATTATAGCTTGTCTACTAATAATTTAAACAATATATCCATTACAGCAATCGCTGAGGCATCACGTCGTTCCCCATTACGAGCAAAACCTTTCTCGTGGAATCTACTTGCTCTATGCGAACCAACATTTTATGGGTCTCCGTGTCTTGGACGATGGTACCATGATGCTACAAACCAGTCATCGGAGACACGAGTACAAGAGCATGCTGCCGGAAGAGTTCAATGGTGGGTCGTACGACCAAATCTTTGCTGTTGTCCCTACACACAGCACCAGCTCGTTATCATCCTTGTGGTCCTCATCGATGTGTCTCGATCGTGTAGGCGGCAAGACAGTCGAGAACGCTGCAGCGGACATACTGGACACGTGGGCCACAATGCAGTTCCAGCAATCAGAAGAGGAGCCTTTTGTAATCTTGCATGAGCCCCAGCCGGTCCAGGTATTTCTTCCAGGTCTGTACATCGCACAGCCAGCTGACTCGGAGAGAATGACCACTACACTTCCAATTTCTTTGGATAGTGAGTCTGAGACGGAAGGTTCCGACAGTTCTGGTTTCTGGGACCCTCCTTTCTATGATGCATCGGCTGGCGCAGCTCATGTTCGGTATCACAATGATCGCTGTGGCGGGAGTGGTGTTGTGTTGCCAGTGGAGGTGCTGGGATACTTACCATCCTTCTATTTCGAGCACGATTATCTTCATGCACTTGCTGCTGCTTCCTCGAGAATGTTGAGCCTGGTTCGAGACAAAACACACTGGCAAGACCTAGTTGTTGACATCGATCGACCAGACCTTCTGGTGTCGGCCCGCCTCCGCAGCATGATAGACTTGCTCAGCCGGGCCAGGTGGGTTTGCGTGAATATACATCAGTTGAGCATGTTCCTCATCATACCAGCAAACATCAGGCTGAACTGGACACCGACACCTGTTCCCCGACATTCTCTGCCGCCGTTCGTAATGTTCGGCTTCCAGTCCATGCAGCCGCTGCTCGGTGTCGCGGACTTCGACATCGTTCTACCGGCACAGCTGCGATCACTTGTTGTTGGTGTCAGGGAATGGCATGGTGAAACCAGATTTTATTGTCGAATCGACAATATATTTCAGACACCAGTTGCCTGGTCTTTGGGCATGAACAACAGACCGGCCAGACCTTACACACGAGCCAGCCGCTTCGAGTTCATTGTGAACCGAAGCAACAGATTCCATCTCCGATGGAACACAAGATTCTTTTCTGTTGGACTGAATCACCAAGGTGTTCTGCGTGCATCGGTGACTGCTCCGAATGAAAGACTGGCTCCTGCCTTGTCTCAAGTATTTATTTGGGGTTTCGGGCCACAGCGTCCGCTTTCCACGCGACCCCGAGTAGCTGCAGTGCCATCCTTGCTGCAACTGAATGCATCCATCAGGTGTGCAATTTGTCACCAAGAGCACACCATCATGATACCTCGTTGGTGTGTCTGCCCCATGTGCACGACATGGGTTTGCGCGTCCCATGTCGGGGAGTCTCCATGGAGAAGATGTCCTGGCTGCGAGTATCGTCTCCAGGATTACTTGGGTGGGGCTGAGGACAATGATGGAGATTCTTACGTGCAGGCTCCGGATGGAACAAGTCACGACTGGGACGACGAGCTCCTGGTATCCAATTCGAATCTGGAAATGGTATCGCACAATATGGATTTCTTGGGAGGATCGGTGGCTTGATCACAATGGTGTGTGTGTGTGGAGTATTCTGTAGAAGTATCAGCGTCCATGAGTCGGAAAGCCTGCTAGTCTTACCTTAGGCAAGTGACGTGGTGCCTGTAGAGCATGACCAGTGTCATTGTAAATTGCTTCGGTTCGGGATAACGTACACCAATGCCATTATTATTGCGCATACGATGTTACTAGAATCTATAAAAGTTGTTGATACTGAGGCATCATCTCAGATGGACGTTGACGACGCATCGTGCGGAGGCAAGTCAAATTACAGCAAGTATATATTACAGAAGCCATGGAATCCTTGCATGTTAACGGTCTATGTTCGTTGTAACATAAAAAACTATACGAGGTACGGAAGCCAATGGCTTCAACGATGCAGCGTTCACTGAGTCCAATGCCAAGGAAGCTGCTGCAGAAGCAAGCCACTCCGTCCTGCAAAGAATATACTTTGTTTCTGCGATTGTGTGGAACATGTTTAACATCATGGCACCTAACTACACACTCTAAGGTGAATGGCCCGCTGGCCTCGAGGACGTCGTCGGTGCGGTTTTACTGGAGCCTCCACGGGATCCTTCCTTTCAGGTTCCAATTAGACATGATGACGAAAGCACGTCCAAGCTGCTCCCGTGCAAAGAATTGTCGTGCGTAAACCAGTGTCAACTTGATGCACGGCTTCGTTTCGAGCCCGCTGGTCATCACTACTTCTACGAAGGGAACAAAATCTCCTGCAGTGCTGCCTGGCTGCAAGACATACATGTCTGCATGACTGTCCCTATAACTTTGAACATTGTGCATGTGAAGTGAGGTTACCGGACTCATCCACCAATACGCGGAAGAGTTCGAACCGGCGGTGGCGCTGATGAAGATGAAGTCTGGGAAGCAATGGCCTAGGCCAGAATATGTGGACCCGTCCATCAGTTTGCCGTCTATCGCAGCCATGCTTCAAGGGATGGACTTCAAGTATCAGGCAGACCTGGTACATCTTCTCCGGCAAAGTGATCCGAACATTTCGGAAATCTGTCGTTTGGTTGCTTTGAGCAAAGAAGACTTGAACGGCTGGGATGAAATCGTCAGTGCATTGGCTATGTCCGATAACGAAATCATGCTGCACTGGGACAGGAAACGCATAGCTGCTGCCAACTCTGGTACTTGGATGCATGCGATGCTGGAGCATATGCTGAATGGCTACAAAATACAACCCGGACCTATGGAGGGAGAAATGACTGCAGTCATTCGGTTCCTGTCTGGTTTGGATAATGTCGAAGTCTACCGTACAGAATGGTGCATCTGTGCACCTGAAGAAGATTTGGCAGGGTCCATCGACTTGGTTCTCAAGGACAAAGACACTGACGTTTTTCATCTCGTCGACTGGAAACGGAGTGAGAACCTGCAGGACAAGTACAACAGCTACGGCAAGAAAATGGCTCCTCCTATACAGGATGTAGATGACTGCCAAGGACAGCATTATCGATTGCAGCTCAATATCTACAAATGGATCTTAGAGAACTACTATGACATCAAGGTGCAGCAAATGAAAGTCGTATGCGTACATCCGCGTTACCTTCCACATGGACTCGTGGACATTGTACCTGACATGCAGACGACGGTTGCCAAGATGATGCAATGCTGCCGAAACAAGAAGGCTGCCATTTCAATGCAAAATGCTGAACGTGCAGAGATCGGTCCTGGCCAGGCCCACGACGCTCCGGGTCCTGCTCATGGATGTGAAAGCCTGCCACCCGGACAAGATAGTCAGGGCAATATTCCAGATACGTTGGAGTTTGAAGTCATGCTTACAGGCCCTCCACCAACCAAAGATGAAATGGAGATTGCACTGGAAGAACTCATGTTGGAGGAAGAGGACAAAACTACACATGGCCTAGCCAAGAAAAGAAGATTGATGCCGGGAGCCGACACACATGCTCTGGACTGCAAAAACATGTTTGCAAGATCCCTCGACATTATCAAGAATACCCTTGATACATATGGAGCAGATGTTTGTTTGCAGCCTAACACCATCATGCAGAACACGAGGAACATGGTGAGCTCCCTCCAGACCAAGTACCCCTGGATGTCGGATCAACTGAAACGTTTGATCATGGTGGCCGTTCACATGACCACTGGCAAAATCGGTGATAAGCCTATGCTGCCGGACGCCGCTGCCATTACCTGGATGGTAGAAGGTGACTGTCACATGCGTGTCCACAAAGGTTTCCTTTTCATCTACGATGACGATGGCTGTTTCATGCCATTTGGCGGAATTCCTCCTGAAGCTGTTCTACACCGTGTTGGTGACTTCTTTTGTTGTCTTGAAGGAATATTCCGACGCATGAAACCCGAAATCGTTCGAGATGCAGTTTCGGTTGCTAACGCCATCGCAGCGGACATGCAGAACTTCGAGACGGAGTCGGACTACTTCACAGAATGTAGGAATGCCACGAACAAAAGATCTCAGACACCTGCGTACTCACAGAGATTGGATGATGACGAAGAGGATGTTCGCGGTCGCAATCAATCCGGACAAGATGCATGTGAATCGTGGCCTCTGGACATGGCATCTAGGTCCTGGAAGGTGTCCTGTATCATCAAACAAGAGCTCATGCAGACAAGGATGGTTTCCTTGCTCGTGGAGTGGTGTGAGACGGAAGACAGAAGGTCGTCAACTATATGTTACGATGATCTCTGCCTTGCATATGATCGACCCGGATCCTTTCTTCCAGTAGAAGTGGTGAAAAAGGGCCCGCAGAACAACTGTTATGTGAGGATTCCACATCCCTTGCTGGATCCAGTCATGGAAGCTAACATGGACAGACTCCAAGGATTCTACGAGAGAACATTTTGGTGCAACTTGGACGTGTTCAAGTGTTTCCAAGCTGCCGCAGCCATCGCCAAGAGAGGCTTCAATGTCGATCGGTGCTTCATCGGCATCTCACCAGGCGGCGTTGGACCAGAGTTTATATTCTCTCCACCTCTCGGAAATGTACAAGCACAATCACAGCTATTTTGACCCAAACATTTGGCACCTCGACGAAGAACTAAGAAAACAAGTCGAATCATTTGCGAAGTGCTTCGTCCTGACGGGTCAAGAAGCTCCGGAAACGAATCGCAAAACGCACATAGATCTCTACAAAAAGACGATTTCAGGCGACGGGATTATGGGCAGAAAACCCTATGGATACAGCACCCGCATGTTCCAAATGATTGGGTGGACAAGGCTGGAGGTGAACAGGGTCATGGCTTTCCTCGGTGTGACCAACGGCAATTTCAACTCCATGTTCAGACGCTCCTTCGTCTGGAAAGCAAAGGCCCGCTTCGTCCATGGCAAGTTCCTACGACATTATCCAGATCATGAGAAGGACGGCATTTTCGAAGCGGATCCCAGCCTAAGCAAGTTTCTGTCCACATCCCAAGCCTCCATTGCAGGATTGAAGTTGCAGTGGGCCTTCGAGGTGGATCACAGTAAGGAAGACTGCTACCAACTCATCGAAGACTACTGCAATGGAGGCGACGGCCATTTGACCGAAGACATCATGAGAGATGCATGCGGTCTGCCAGTGCGAGTTCGTCAGGAGCACGAGGAAGAAGGGCTGGGCAACGTCATGGCGGCAGGACAAGACAGTGCGGACGAACGTGACGAGAGAGACCAGGAATGGATCAAATTAAAAAACTTCCTCACCACCTACATGCTGGAGAAAGAGATGGACGTGATGACGTTCCACGAGTTCAAGAAGATGAACTTCAAGCCAGGCCAACATCCCAATCTGGCCAAGGGAGTCATGTGGGATCAACTTGAAGAGAAGGGCGTTGTTCGCACGGCTCTCATTCGGCAGAAAACCAGCAAAGAGAAGCCCGGGGCATACATCCCCAATTTGATCTTCAGCAAACCTCATGCTGATATTTGCCCACAGGCTGCATTGGACACTGTTCGACTGCAATTTGAAGAGGAGCAAGACATCGGCTTAGCAAAAAAGTACGCTCACAGCTGCCGTGGTCGCAGCATGAACGCGGACACCATGAAGGCATTCTACAAGGCAATGATTCCTGCCTCCAAGAAAGGACGCCGCACAGCAGAAACGGAAGAAATCGTGCAGAAGTATCAGTCTCTCATTCGGAAGCTTGAAGATCACGAAAACTGCCTTCAGCAGATTGTATCAACAAAGCATGGACGACGCTTGCGAGGGAAGAAGTCGGTGGAGGAGGACGACCATGAGTCGGTCGATCATGTCTCTCTGGATGGAAAAAGTTGGAGTTCTCTGAAGCACGGCCGAACCATATCGTATGCCTACTCTGAGAAGGTACCGTACACGGTGCGAGCACGCCGCTACACTAACAATGGTGGAGTGCAGTCCATGTCCCGTCGACTCCAATCTCACGTTGTGGACGGTCATACAGTCGATTTGGATATCCAGAACTGTTGTCTTACATTGTTGCAGCAGATCATTGCTAAGGTCGAGCCACAGCCACCCATGCCTGACAATCTTGTGAAACTTCTGGATCGTTTGGTGAATGATCGAACAGCTGTGCTGAATCAGCTCGGGCTTCATATCGTGGAGGGCAAGGAGATGATCAACACCGTTCTGAACGGTGGCAGCCCATTTCCGGCATTGAAAAACAATGAGATTGTCTATGATCTGCAAAGACTCTCACAGTATGTCCGTTGGGTTGCATGCAATATGCTACACGAGGACTATATGTCGCTTGCGGACAACAAGCATAAGACATTCCCATCTTCCACCATCCTATCATTGCTTTGGACCTCAGTCGAAGACAGGATTCTGCAGAGTTGGACCGAACATATATTGAGTCGTCCGAGCAAGCCAAAGCACTTGTCTCTTCACTTCGATGGTCTTCGAATATCCAGAGATCACATTGAGACGTCGCAAGATGAATTCATCAAGGATTGTGAGAATGCAATCAGAATGCGGACTGGCTTCATGGTGAAGATTGTGGAGAAAAAGCATTTTTCCTTCATCGACTTGGTGAAGAACAGAAGTACTCATGCCAATTCAGTTACGAATGTACCTGCTCTTCTATTGCAACCAGGCAACTGCATACCCTGTGCCGTCTGGCACATGACGCCACTTGTTAGACCAGTTGTGGTCGCTGCGATATCAAACGAAACATTGGAGAAGAACATCGATGCCAAGAAGATGAAATACAGAGATTACCGTTCTGTAGCTTCCATGTGTTCGATTGATCTCGCCAGCTGTGTTGGTCTGCCTGAGTCGCATGTGAAATCTTTCGTTATACATTACGAAGGACAGGGCGTCCCACACTGTCTGGCTGTCAGAGTAGATGCTGCTGGGAAAAACGTTACAATCCTGGATGGGGCCACAGTGTACAAGCTCACCATGGCAATTTTTCGAGAAATCCATTCTGCAGCCGTGGATCACGCCACCATGGTGTCGTATTGGAAACCAGATTCCCGCGACAAGATCGATGGCAAATCCTCATTGTTGCTGGATATGGTTGCAGGTGCACGTGAGGCTCCACATGATTCCGAAGAAGATACTTGTGATGATGTGGCCGAAGCCTCCGCTGCATCCAGCATCAATAGGTTGTCCTTCGATGAAGACAATGTTCCGGTTTTCAGCGACAACATTATGAACCGCTTGAGTGAAGAAGCAGACTTCGTCATGAAAGATCTTTATAGGATTTCCGAAAGATGTGAGGGGAGAAGAAGGTGTCCTCTGTGTCCATTCAGATCTTTCTCTCAACTTCGGCTGTTGAGGACACACATCGCGAAACATCATACCAGAAAGAATCAGTACGTGTGCTCTGGCACGAAGCAGATCAAGATTATATTGGCTCTGCATGATCACGCAGCTTCTTCGCAAACTACATCTTCGAACATGTTGCAGGAGAGTGCTAGTATTCTCAGATCAATGATTCAGCCATCACTGCCATTTACACAAAATCACATCGATAAACAGATTCGATTGATATTCGATGCCACCGGGCCACAGTACGTCAATGTCACCAGTCTCGGCAAGAGTGTGCAAGTCAGACGAGTCCGGAACTTGTACTACACGCGCTCCTTTGCGGATCTCCTTCTACGAGAAATGGTCCTGAATCATGCTCAAGCCTCCAGACTGCACGAATACACATAGGATCTGGCAACGTTGTGTGCTTTAGCTTGACCTACTGTCGTACTCAGGTTCGAGCAGTATCTACGAGATGTCATATGGCCGCCTTCGAATCCAACAACAAGCTGGCTAGCTTGCTACCGCGACGGTCGCAGCATTGGATGCCTATGCTTGAGGACATCGCCACATCTCATGCGTTCCTTGATAAGATGGAGAGCATGAGCAATGTCCTCATGCAACAAGATGAATGGCATTATATCAGCATGGACGCCACCCTGAAACTGTGCATGAAGCTGATGGGCCAAGCTTCCTACAGGTCGCCGAAGGCTGTGCGGGACGAAGCGCCCTTTGGAGACGATGTGGCGTGGCGGAGACTACTGACCGTTCGCGGTCGCACGGGTGCAGTCCTCTTGATGCATCCACTTCAAAACGAATCGTCGGAGCAGCTTGTGGAGGCGCTAAGCCAGAACTTCTCCACAGAGCAGCTTCAGGCGGTGGTGCACATTGGGACGGACAGCCCATCCGAGAAACTCTTCAGTCAGTTGCAGAGCATATGTCCGTGTATGAAATCTCTGATTCTGGATCCCATTCACTTGGCTATTGTTTACGAGTATGGATTTTGGAACAAGAAGAGTCCTGGATCTAAACAACTTCGTCGCATACTGAAAAAATGCACTGCCGTGGACGACGATCTGGGTCGTGATTGCTGGGGTCCATTCTACGATGGCAGGAACGCCAATCCGTTGGGCGAAGTTGAGATAAAGTACAGGGACATGATTTCGACTTCATCCATGACTCCATCTGAGAGCAAGAACATCCTGGACAAGCTGGACATGCAGGTACCGTTCTCGAACCGTCTGGAATTCATCAAGGCACTGGCTGCCCTATGTCAACGATATCCCAATGAAGTCAACAAAAAGATTGCAGGTGCCAACAAGCAGATCAACAAGATTTTATGGTCTGCATGCTCGCCCGATCGCTTGGAGTGGATGATGAACAACTTGCGTGTAAGACACGCCATTCAACCTTCGTATCGATGGTTCCTGCCAAGCGGGACGTCGAGTAACGAAGCCCTCCATGCCGAAGTGAATTCCTGGACTCGAAGCATCACTGCGATGCATCGCTCTACTTTGGCTATGAAGCTAATGTACTTCAGATACATCAAGTTGTTGTTACATTATCTATCTGTCCAGCATCCTCTATCGCATGTGGTGAGTGCCAGTATGCTGCTAAGCAGATCCCTGCACGCATCGCTGTGGTACGGTGATGACTGGACCGCGTGGTGCTCTGAACAATCGTCAGAGACAGTGCCTAAGAAGGCCGCACTTCCTTTGTCCTCTGCCAACCGGCACGAGGCGAAACTGGTTCGGCAACACCTACAGAAAAAACCTGCTTGTAAAGGACGTAAGAACCACGTCGTCAAGAGACGTGTCACGCCACTATCCGTTAAACGGATGCACACACTGCGAAGTGCCGGTGTAAAGTCACGTCGACGCGATTGAGACAGTTCGCGGGAGTCAGCATAAACAAGATCAAGTCGTGTTTGCTTTCTGCAATTTGAGCTTGGAACAAGGAATGCAACCACGTATCTATGATCTTCGCACATTTGCAGGCCTTAGAGACTTCGTGGCCTGCGTCGCAGCATCCTCAGAATTGAGAAGACATCACACCCGAATTTGTGGAGGTTGTGGAGAAGGCAACATTATATGGAATCATCACGAACCAAACTATACTTGCATATGCATGTCCTGCCTATGCATCAGGTATATCAGTTCCATACCGAGCACAACCTTTAGAAAGTATTGCCTATAGCTTTAAATAGCTTATCGTCTTCTGTGACCTATTCGAGGAACAGAGTTACCCCGAACACAGGCGATCCGTCCCCTATCACGAAAGTGAAAACAAGCGAGCTCCGGATCTGTCTGCCTGGAAATAGGGTCTGCACGTGGGAGTGAAGGTGATAGCATATCGAGTCTGTTGAAGGGCAGCCACACTCTTGTTCAATAGCTCAGTGGGGTGAGGACAAGGAACATCATCAGCATGGTCTGCGTAGTAGGCTAGTTCAATAGACCGTAATACCTAAGCTTGTATCCAAGGAACTATATTGCACATGCATGTACGCACGCATGCACATATATATTTTCGTATGTGAAAACCAGCCACATGCATGCCTACGATGACATGCTTATAGTATGATACAATATACGAGTGCAACATGTTAAATTAAAATATGAGCTAGTCTGACATAACATAGTAGATAGTACGACAATATAGTACATGTAAGTAAACAGTAGAGACCCAAGAGGAGCTTCTTTATACAGTACACATATACTTATACTGCATGATACACATTTTTGTCACATCAGCTAATGACGCCAGGGTATAGGCATATCGTCGCAATGACGGGTGCCGGAGAGTCAGGGTTTGATTCCGGAGAGTACGCATCAGAAACAGCTACCGCATCGAAGTAAGACAGCAGGGGCATAAATCCTGCCACAGTTGCAGGGGTTCTTTCTTTCTCATCTTTCGCCCGCCAGAGCCGGGGAGCGGCGCAGCCGTGCCCTGTGTTGCCGGGGTTCCTTCTTTCTGTCTGTCTGGCCGGGGGGCGGCTTGGCCGCATCCTGCGCCGCAGATACTTTCTTCTCTCGCTGGGTTGTTAGTTCACGTGCCTCAAAGGATATAGCTTTCCATTCGGTATCGCGATTTGGACTTTCGGACAGGTATCCATAGAGCTCACTCTCATATGCACATACTGCTCTAAATACTTACATCCAAATAATTTCTGGAGAAACAGCTACCACATCGAAGTAAGGCAGCAGGGGCATAAATCGTGCCACAGTTGCAGCGGTTCTTTCTTTCTCATCTTTCGCCCGCCTGAGCCGGGGAGCGGCGCAGCCGTGCCCTGTGTTGCCGGGGTTCCTTCTTTCTGTCTGTCTGGCCGGGGGGCGGCTTGGCCGCATCCTGCGCCGCAGATACTTTCTTCTCTCGCTGGGTTGTTAGTTCACGTGCCTCAAAGGATATAGCTTTCCATTCGGTATCGCGATTTGGACTTTCGGACAGGTATCCATAGAGCTCACTCTCATATGCACATACTGCTCTAAATACTTACATCCGAATAAATTCTGGAATCCGCGCTGCTCATCATGCGCGGTCCTGTGATAATGGTGCTCCAAGAAGCACTGGGCATAGCTTGGTTTGATTCCGGAGAGGAAGCATGAGAAACGGTTGCCACATCCAGGAAAGGCAGCACGCGGCTCGAGCTTTGTTAGTGCAGCCACGATGCTGCCGCGTCCTGTCGGAAGACAGGCTGAGCGAACGGTTTGGAACTTAACATTCTTTACAGTTCCAAGAACCGCAATTCATCGAAACTACTATGGGCCCCAATACGTGAGGTGCGTCGCAGACCGCTGGCGCCGCTGCCTGTCGGAAGACAGGCTTCGCGAACAATTTGGAACTTAACATTCCTTACATTTCCAAGAGTCGCAATTCGTCAAAACTACTATGAGCCCCAATACGTCAGGCTATGGGGCCCCGAGAGCCGCCGTTCCCACCACCGGTGGGAGCCTCGCGAAGCATGGATGATGCAAACAAACTTCGTGTTTCTATATACGCCTTCGCGCTGAGGGATGGCATGCCGAAGAGACTGCGGAAGCCTTACCCTCAACAGCAAATCCTTTGAAAGTGTGATTGGTTGTCTCCTTACACAGGAGACAGCGTGCGAGGGGACCGAAGCGGTGGAAGCCTTACCCTCAACAGCGCATTTTTTGAAAGTGTGATTGGTTGTCTCCTTGCACAGGCGACAGCGTACGAGTGGAACGAAGCAGAGGAAGCGTTACCCTCAACAGACCATCCTTTGAAATCCTGATTGGTTGTCTCCTTACACAGGAGACAGCGTACGAGGTGAACGAAGCGGCGGAAGCCTTATCCTCAACAGAACATCAGTTGAAAGCGTGCTTAGTTGTCTCCTTATACAGGCAGCGTACGCGTGGAGCGAAGAGGTGGAAGCCTTATACCCTCAACAGAACATCCTTTGAAAACTTGATTGATTGTATCCTTGCGCAGGAGGCAAGGAACGAGGATGACGAAGCAGTGGCAGCCCTACACTCGACAGAACATTGTTTGAAAACGTGATTGGTTGTCTCCTTACTCAGGAGACAACGATCGGCCTGAGCGAGGCCGTCCAAGCCCTATCCTCAACAGAACATCATTGGAAATCGTGATTGATTGTATCCTTACACAGGCGACAGCGTACGAGGAGAACAAAGCTGTGGAAGCCCGACCCTCAACAGACCATCCTTTGAAATCGTGATTGATTGTCTCCTTACACAGGAGACAGCGTACGATGTGAACGAAGCGGCGGAAGCCTTATACTCAACAAAACATCAGTTGAAAGCGTGCTTGGTTGTCTCCTTATACAGGCAGCGTACGTGTGGAGCGAAGAGGTGGAAGCCTTACCCTCAATAGAACATCCATGGAAATCTTGATTGATTGTCTCCTTGCGCAGGAGACAGGGAACGAGGATGACGAAGCTGTGGCAGCCCTACACTCGACAGAACATCCTTTGAAAGCGTAATTGGTTGTCTCCTTATTCAGGAGACAACGATCGGCCGGAGCGAGGCCGTCCAAGCCCTATCCTCAACAGAACAGCATTGGAAATCGTGATTGATTGTATCTTTACACAGGCGACAGCGTACGAGGAGAACGAAGCGACCGAAGCTTCACCCTCAGCAGAATATCATTTGGAATCGCGATTGATTGTCTCCTTACACAGGAGACAGAGAACAAGGGGGGCGAAGATGTGGAAGCCCTACACTCAACAGCACCTCCTTTGCAAGCGTGATTGATTGTTTCCTTATACAGGAGACAGCGTACAAGGGGACCGAAGCGGTGGAAGCCTTACCCTCAACACCACATCCATTGAAAACGTGATTGCTTGCCTCCTTACAAAGGAGACAGCGAACAAGAAGAGCGCAGCTGCGGAAGCCTTACCGCAGCAGACCCTGTAATCACAAGCAAGATCATTGGTTGTCTCCTTGCGCAGGAGACATCGACCGACTGCGACGAAGTGGTCGAAGACTTACTTTCACAGAACCGCTAACCACAAGCAAGGGCACTGAAAACAGAGCTGCGTTGCACAATCATCTGTCAGGAAAAGACGGAAACAAACCGAGAACCTGCCAGAGTCTTACATCGCATCAGCAGCAACTCATACTTTCTCTGTAGTAGTCCCTGCGCTCAGGGATTCTACATCCAACGCCTCCTGCAGGCGGAAGCCCTATCCTCAACAGAACATTGCTTGAAATTGTAATTGGTTGTCTCCTTACGCAGGGGACAGCGAACGAGAGTGGAGAAGAGGTGGACGCCTTACACTCAACAGAACATCCTTTGAAATTGTAATTGGTTGTCTCCTTACGCAGGAGACAGCGAACGAGAGTGGAGAAGCGGTGGACGCCTTACACTCAACAGAACATTCTTTGGAAGCGTGATTGGTGGTGACCTTACACAGGAGACATGGAACGAGGGTGACGAAGGTGTGGAAGCCTTACCCTCAATAGAACATCTTTTCCAAGCGTGATTGGTTGTTTCCTTACCCAGGAGACGACGTACGAGTTGAACGAAGCGACCGAAGCTTCACCCTCAGCAGAATATCCTTTGGAATCGCGATTGGTTGTCTCCTTGCGCAGGGGACAGCGAGCCAGGACATCGAAGCTGTGGAGGCATTACCCGCAGCATAACCTCCAAGCGCAAGCAAGAGCACTGGTTCCTTGTACAGGAGCCAGGGACAGGCGGTGACGAGGCCGTCGAAGCGTTATCCTCAGCAGAAACTCTAAGTGCAAGCAAAAGCATTGTCTCCTTGCACAGGAGCCAGGGACATGCGGTGACGAGGCCGTGGAAGCGTTACTCTCAGAAGAAACTCTAAACACAAGCAGGAGCATTGTCTCCTTGCACAGACTGCAGGATCAGCTGCGTGGAGTGCATCCGCGGTGGCTGCGTTTCTCAAAGAGGACATCACTGTAAAACACAACCCTGTGCGTCAACCGTCTCGTTTTACCCGTCTGCTGCGTGAGTGTCGCAACGTGCTCGTTTTACCATTATGACTCTTGACCAAGCTCTGCTCACGATTGGGGTAGGAAAAAAATCTTAGATTGTTTTCATAGTTTATAGCTAGGGTCGTTGGTGATTTTATGTAGGATATATAAGGGTTTTCTTGCAATTCAGAGGTTGTTTTCTTGGGATCCGTAAGTGGCCTTTTTGGAGTTCCTTAGAGGTGATTCTGGGCATGGGGCTTGTCTAGAGTGCGTGCCAACTCTTAGCAAATATTGGGATCAAGACACTCGGTTTTCAAAGGCTTTGTTATATCTTCTACTTGCTGGTACAGCAGCTGGGTTGGGTTTCCCTTGTAAGAAGACCACCTGCCAAAACCTTCATGTAGCTATTCCTACAATAAACCACCGAAAATCCCAGATTTGCTTCCCAGAATTATAGATGGGATCATAATTGG